ATTCATTAAATGATTTAACACTGCTGCCCTCTAGTGGTTAAATCGTGCAATGTTTATTACTCATTAAATGATTTAACACTGCTGCCCTCTAGTGGTTAAATCATATGTTTATGATTCATTTAATGATGTAACACTGATGTAACACTGCTCCGGTCTGTCTTTGTTCATCCTGCATCGCTTGGTTCTGTTCTTTAATGTAACGTTACTGGAGCCTCTCCAGCTGTTAGCAGACTGTTGTGCTAGCAGCATGCAGTTCGGTGGTGAAATGTTATAAATGTACAATTATTAGTGTTACAAATTGTTTATGTGTCACAGACTGTTGTGTGCTGTTGTATTTTTCTGTTAAAGAGCATTAGTTGTGGGTTGTTAATTGTGTTATAAAGTTATGACCATGACTAGGGTTCCCTCTCAATACATATAAGACAACTAGCGCTGACCGCTGTGCGTTAGCAGCAAAGAATACATTTAGCTGCTTGTTGAAAGCAGACAGCAGTTGTTTTGGCTATGCACCGGTATAATGGTGTGTGAAGAATTTATATCATACGGGAAATTAAAACCGGTATACTGCCCAGCTCTAGTCTTTGTTGTAGTTTGGACAATTTTGTACCAATATTTGACGGGCCGGATTAAAAAGCCCAACGGCCGTAGTTTGCCCATGCCTGGGCTAGTGGCTAGCTGAGGGTCTTCTTCTGCTTATTGTAGCTTGTTAAACAACTGACTGACACATTACCGCCACCAGGTGGTGGGAAGCTATATTGTAACTGAGCGTCTCATGGAGAACAGTAATATCTCTGGTGTCTTCAATTGATAACCTATGCGGACCCGCGGCCCACAGGTGCAAAACTGAAGGTTTTTTGCGGCCCTCTAGGTGGCGTTCGCGGCCCCATCGTGGCTGCTCTAGTGCCAAATCCACCAGGACGGATGTGGACATTCTCAGCCCAGCAGCCGTGGAGAATGTCTACTACATTTCTCACAATGCAGTGGACTGTCTGGAGTTCAGAGGTTTTGGGTGGCCAAAATCAAATGAAAAGGGGAAAAAAACGTAAGAAGAAAAAGTAAATTATAGTTTTTGCCAAACCTAAGTAACTTTTCCCCCCATTTTGGTTAAAATGATGGGTATATCTAAATGGCACCACCTGGTGGACACATTTGTAGTGACAGCATGTATACAGAGTTCTGACTGTTGGAACCAGTGCAACACAGCAATATAGATTTGTTTTTCTTCTGCAAATCCATACAGGAAAGCAAACTTGTGCTCGTGAAACTTCATGACGCATAGACTTTAAAATTCATATACAGCAACTTTATTGTAAGCTGAATGATCCAGAGTTGTGTTTACACTTGTGTCGAAAGTTGGCAGTTATTGATACACTTGAAGCTTGTGAAGGAGACCTTTAAACTTTGTGGGCGACAACAGAGAAGCTCTTTTAATGTTCACTTAATATACACCTAATGTTGAGAATATGAACGTAATGTGCAAGTTAAAACACCACAGTGCATCCTAGAAAACACCAGTCAACAGTGCCATGATACTGGACTTGAAGTGATCCCATTAGTCACTTGTTACATTCTTTAAATCCAGTCTTTGCACAATTTGTCTTATAAAAATAGGCCACATGAGAACATGCCTATAAAACTAAAGGGAAGAAACAAATATGGTTCCAGGCACTGTTAATATTCTCAAATATATTTCATAATATCAATCCTTTTATCAAATGTACACTCATTGTATTATATCCCTGTAAAATAAATAAGTTTCTCTACAGAGTGCATCTCTTCTTGCGACATGGTCCGGCTTTCCTCACTCTGGGGGCTTCTTCTTGGCCTCCACATCTTTCTTAAAGGCCTCAATTTTCTTGGCTATGTTGGGAACCTAGAAAGTAAAATCAGTCAATACAATCTGACGCACAGATACCAGTTTGTGAGATACACCTTGCTAAAACTAATGTAGTCTAATACAACAGTCCTGAGATAGGTCCAATACCTCCATGAAGGTTATACAGGTCGGTTTTAGTTGCAGCTGTGAACTAATGTAGATATACTTGCCTCATAGTTCTGAGCCAGGTACATCCCCACAACGTTCCCCAAAGTAAAACCAGCCTGGAAGAGAAACAACAACTGTCATTTAAGGCCAAAATGTCTGCCTTTCTGATAGAGTAACAGCTCTTAAGTTACATGTTAACTTAAAGTACTTTCATTAGGTGGTATGTTTAACTGCTCGCTGTAGGATTGGTGAAACACGCTTTAAAGATGTATTCCTAAACGTCAAAGTAGAGATTTTCCATGAACCCCGTCAAGAGTTTTGAAAGCAAGTTATGCTAACAGGTTAGCTCGTCTAGTTTCACATCTCTTAGCGTCCTAGTCGATGTCATGCACAAGAACGTCAATTAAACTCACCAGGAATTGTAGCATGGTGGAATAACGAAGGATTGTCAACAGCAGACTAATGTACTGACTTAAAGTCAGACAGTTAAAGGTTGGAGGGAGGACATCAACCAATCTACTTGGCTAACGAAGCTAGCGAGTCATCAACAATACGCATGCGCGAGAAAACAATCGACTATCGCGTTATCTTCGGACAACAAGTACTGTAGTCTTTTCCTCAGCCTGGCCTGTAGCTTCTTCTTCTTATTCCAAATTAGAGAACTACAACTCCCAACACCAAACAAAGTCTATCGTCCAGCCAGTGGGTGTTGTCGCAATGGTGGCGTCGGTGGGACATTGAATGACTTTGGCTCCACCACGAATGTAGCTAACGTTTGGTTTATAATTTTCCTCATAAACCGCGAGCATGGAGGCTCTTATCCCCGTGATAAACAAGCTGCAAGATGTGTTCAACACAGTGGGAGCGGATGTCATTCAGCTCCCGCAGATAGCAGTAGTTGGGAATCAGGTAAGATGCCTTGACTGTGTGTACTTTGTGATTTAGCGGCTGCCATGCTAGCTAGATAACCATGCACAGTTAGAGTTAGCATTGTGGGAAGAAATTTTGCAACATGCTGAGAACTAATGAATAGTCAGACATGAATTGTGGCTTCACCGAGGCCTTAGTGATGCAGCTCTGTTAAAAACCCACTGCAAATGGTGCTCGATTGCTGCACATTTGCTGTGTTGGCTGTAGCCCTGATCCAGCATGGTCCCATGTCAGGCATAGATGGACCTGGTGTGTTAAATCAGAAAGTGAATGTCGGTCATTGCTCATCTAACTCGTATCTTTATCTGTGTATTGTGTCTTTAGAGCAGTGGTAAGAGCTCAGTGCTGGAGAGCCTGGTGGGCCGGGACCTGCTGCCCCGTGGGACTGGTGTCGTAACCAGGCGACCTCTCATCCTCCAACTGGTCCATGTAGATCCTGGAGCTGCGAGGAAAAATGACGACGGTGGTAAGCATCAAAATCCCTCCAATCTCTCCAACTCCAAGTCTATGGATTTTGCATCAATCGTTTGTATGTTGTGCTGGATCCTTACATATAAATCACCATCATTTCCCTTTTAGGCTAATAAACACATGTAGGGAACAGGCCCATTGTTTTTGTTTCCAGTGTGAAAAAAGTCATCAGTTTTAAAGTTCTGTCTCTGTCACTGTGTTTCTAATCATTTGCAGATTCCAGGGAGTGAAAAAAGCACTGTGCTTTCACAAAAGGTGCATTGTACAAATGTCTTCACATTCAATAACATGGATTAGCCTCTTAGTTCTGCTCCCCCCTCCTCAAAGCCCCACCTGTGATCCCAGCTTTATTCTCCAGACCAGTAAATGTCGCCAGGCATCAATCCTTAAGTTAGCCGTGCTTGCTTAGCTTTAGTAGTTGACTTTGAGGTTGTAATAGTTAACACCTGTGTTTTCCTCCTTTAGAGAATGCGATGCTACAACTGTAACCCGTTCTGTTTTATTATGCTTCTCAGGCAGAGAAGGTGAAGACTGGGGCAAGTTCCTGCATACAAAAAACCAGGTATGAATTTTATGAAACAAAATATTCAAATATTACTCTAGAGTAGACCTTTGCTTGTCTTTATGTTTTTAATTTTTTTCTTTTTGCAGATCTACACAGATTTTGAAGAAATCAGGCAAGAAATTGAAAATGAAACAGAGCGACTATCTGGGAATAATAAGGTGAGTCATGGATGGAGGGGTTTTCATCTATACTGTTAAACGAGGAACTGTTTGGGTCTCCACCACAGGCAGTGCTGCTGGTGGGAAACAAAACTAAGATGCATATTATCCTCACAAAGCGTGTCTAGTAGTAAATTCAGTTTGCCTATAAAACTCATTAAGAGATGTTGAGCAAGGACCTTAAAAAATAGTGATGGTGTTTAAGACAAAACATTGAAAAAATACATATGATAGCCAAGGACCTAATGATGTTTCAGATGATATGAAACAGTCTCAGTAGTACCAACCTAATTGAACAAAGATGCGTAGGATAGACGGAAGGTTTTGGTTTGATGACTAAGTGATTAAGGGGGTGGAAGTGATTAGAATGTCTCGAATGAGAAGAACATAATCAAAGCTACATATATACTGTAGATACACAACTCTTTAAGTGCTGTAGCAGTAAAGGATGGGTGTTTGGTGCATGAGAAATGTATTCCTTCTTTCTTTTGCCAGTTAGAAAACTAGGTGCACGTTCTGGGCTAACCGCAGGCGAACCAAGGATTAGTGACTAGCACACAATATGTACAGAGAATTACAGTAATCCAGACGCAATGAGATGAAAGCGTACACAACTTCTTTCCCCCAAATCTGAGGACGTGAGTTAAGGACTGACTTTGGAGATAGCCCTGAGCTGAGGAAACTGGGTTTCCCAGCAGAGCTTATACAGTGTGTTTATCAAATTTGAGACCACAGTTGAAAATCACACCCACATCTTCTGGCACGTAGCTTCAGGCTCCTGGCGCCCAAAGGGTTTGGTGACGCTTCTAGAAAGCTGAAAGGAGGGCAAAGATAAGAAAGACTTGCTTCCATGTAGCTTTGTAAAACTTTGGGTTATTTACATTACCACGGTTATCTGAGGAGCTGAGCAGAGTTAGGGTTTTACATTAAGAGCACTCTGTTTCATCAGAAGTGTCAGTGATAATAGAGACCCTCCCCGTTTAAATAAAGCTTACACTACACAATCAGAACTATTTAGATTGTTCTATCTTGTTTACATCTTAAGTTCTGGATCTTGATATGTCTATCCAGGTTTTCTTGTAAAGCACTTTGTAACTTTATTTAAAAAAAGTTTCCTATTGATAACGTTATTGTTACATTTGAGTCACTGAGCTAAGCGTCCATTTCTCTGAAAAATGAAATGCATGGAAATCTTTGAAAAACTCAGAAGCTTACAAACACTTATGGATTTACTGAAGGAATTTCCAAACTCGTAAAAGGCTCTTTTAATCATCTGGATCAAACACTATTCAGTCCTCTGCATGATAAACCACGATTAACTAGTTTCTCATGTTGTAACTTCTCATCCTAATCCAAACAGAGATGGAGCCGCTGGCTACCTGGAAAGGAAACACAGCTTGGGGCGCAACAGGCAGATTGTTTTGTGGGTTTTTCAAACATTGCTGGGTATTTATTTTTTCAGAGAACCGGGTGCTCAGCTATGTGGCGCGAATGTAACGCGAGGGGTGCAAGCAGGGCCGATAGCAGACACCCAGCGGTGTCAAAAAGGCACCATGAGAGTTCAGATAGCGCCTCTAATATTGTCATCTTCAGAACTGACAGACATTTCAACACTTCCTGTGAAACACAGCTGAGCTATTCTATTCCGTACATGTCTATTCTTTTCTCGTCCCTCTGCAGGGGATCAGCGATGATCCCATTCATCTGAAGATATTTTCTCCGAACGTTGTCAACCTCACGCTGGTAGATCTGCCTGGAATCACTAAGGTAACGCATGCTGTACTTCCTGCTGCCTACTCCCCAAGGCTTTGATCATCTCGTACTCCTGGGGAAATTTGTTATACAACACTCCATTTTTGTTAAAAGGTACAAATGTTGAATAAAAAAACACGCTGTACCAGATATGCGTGGTCACTGGTGTTAATTTCCCTGTCTGGTCTATGCTTTTGTGTATTTGAATGAAGTGAATTTGTAACTCGTTCTTGATGCTTCTAAACCCGGCGCTGTCGAAGCCAAAGTGTCTGCAGGCTTTGATTCCAGCCTCATTAGTTCATCCCCCCGCTGTAGTCTCTAATGAATCAAATTGAGTCTCTTCTTTGAATTGGTATTGACACCTTCAGGTGCCCGTGGGTGATCAACCTGTTGACATCGAGGTTCAGATAAAGGATCTAATCCTGAAGCACATCGCTAACCCCAACTGCATCATCCTGGCCGTCACTGCGGCTAACACAGACATGGCCACCTCGGAGGCACTCAAGGTGGCCCGGGAGGTCGACCCTGACGGTAAGAAAACAAAACACTATCGTAAGTTTCTTTCTTTTAATGTAAATCAACCGTTATCGACTGGACTCATTGGTACAAAGATGATGAATAACAGCTGTGGATTGGTACCTGTCGTAGAGGTGATGACCTTTTTAAATGATTGTGACTCACCAGGCAGGAGGACACTGGCTGTGGTCACCAAGCTGGACCTGATGGACGCCGGCACCGATGCTATGGACGTGCTGATGGGCAGAGTCATTCCGGTCAAACTAGGCCTCATCGGAGTTGTCAACAGGTCTGGACAAGTACATTTACTGTTGCGGAATATATAATGAAATAATCCATCACTCATAACAGAGATAAGTGTGTTCTGATGGAGACGAGAGGCTCAATAGAGATGAGTGTACTATTATACATATTTAATGCTGGTATATCGATATCTATTGTTTGAGATTACAGTGATAACGGAATACATTGTGGGATGTTTGACATTATACAAACTGTCAGCCTTAAATCCTTCATCGTTCAGTTCACTTTATCAAACATCAATAACTTACAAATCACAAATTCGTACAAAAACGGATGCAGTATCATGATATGCAGTTTATTAGGCTGCAAAAGATCTGTAATATTGATGAATGTAAGCAGCATTTATTTTTGATCTCCTTTAGTGCCCAGGACTAATTGATGGCATATTGTGTTTAAACGTTTAGGAGCCAGCTGGACATCAACAATAAAAAGTCTGTGACCGATGCCATCCGAGACGAACATGCCTTCCTGCAGAAGAAATATCCGTCTCTTGCCAACAGAAACGGGACCAAATACCTGGCCAGAACCCTGAACAGGTAAACCTGAACGACACATGGAAGGCTCATGGTGCTATCGGTGTAAACCATTTTACAATCATTGTGTCAAGCATCAACAGTTTTGCGTACAAAACGGTTCTGCAGCCTATTAGTGTGCAGAGTGCTTCCATTGTAGCTACGTTCATTCTACTTTACTAGGTAGTATTCTTTATGTGCACCACATATATATATATATATAGATAGATAGATAATTCTTAATTTTTCCAAGACAGGGAGAGAACAAGGAATAAGATGCGACACATATATAAGTATGAATGTAACCAGGACCCATGAAGTTATGTCAGCATGTCAGAAGCTATTAATAACAGCCATCAGAGAAATTGTCTTTTATTTAAACAATGGATGCTCAGCTTTACAAATCCCAACTCATATCTGCATAAAAACAGAACCCTCTGCCCTTCACCTCCATAATGTCAGGTTACTGATGCATCACATCAGGGACTGCCTCCCTAACCTGAAGACACGGATCAACGTGCTGGCATCCCAGTACCAGTCCCTGCTCAGCAGCTACGGTGAACCCGTGGAAGACCAAAGTGCCACCTTGCTCCAGCTCATCACCAAGTTCGCCACAGAATACTGCAACACCATAGAGGGCACGGCCAAATACATTGAGACGGCAGAACTGTGAGTACCGGAGCCTCTCCTCTGCTCGGCCACAGGGTGATGCTGTTGATCCAGCGCAGTGAAAATGAGCAAAACGACTGCATTGGTTTCATCATTTAATACCATACAACTTGTAATTTGAGGCACGTGCAGCCTCGGTGGAGGAGGAGCTGACAGGAGCTCACACACAGGAGTTCACATCACAGCTAATATCCCCCCGTTGCTATTTTTCAGGTGTGGTGGAGCCAGAATTTGTTACATATTCCACGAGACCTTTGGCAGAACATTGGAGTCTGTGGATTCTCTGGGAGGACTTAGCACCATGGACATCCTAACGGCCATAAGGAACGCAACAGTGAGTGCTGCTGCATCATTCCAGAAATATGACATCGTTACTTCACTGAGCTATTGTAAAGCAACAGAGCATTTTTTTTGTGAGATACAGTCTATTATTTTGCCTTTGTTGCTCACTTAAAACAGAGCTCTGGGTAATAGTTGCTAACCTGCAGCTCCCTGCTTCCCCCGCGTCAGGGCCCGCGTCCGTCCCTGTTTGTGCCCGAGGTTTCCTTCGAGCTGTTGGTGAAGAAGCAGGTGAAACGCCTGGAGGAGCCCAGCTTGCGTTGCGTGGAGCTCGTCCATGAGGAGATGCAGAGGATCATCCAGCACTGCAGCAACTACAGCACACAGGTAAACAGCGAGGCTCACATCTTCACACGTATTGATCTTTTGCTCTCACACACACAGACATTCATATTCATAATGTTTTGTCCTGCAGGAGCTGCAGAGATTCCCTAAGCTGCATGAGGCCATTGTGGAAGTAGTCACCTCCCTCTTGAGGAAGAGACTGCCTGTAACCAATGAAATGGTACCATCACGTTCATCTCTCTTTTTTTGCACTTGTGCTTCTGTTGCCTCCAGTCATCATCTTTCAGGGTGCTGTGTTTAATGAGAACCTGAAGCACAACATTAGTTTGGTAACTTAAGTTGTCCTTTTTTCTTTTCAGGTGCATAACTTGGTTGCAATAGAGCTGGCCTACATCAACACCAAACACCCAGACTTTGCAGACGCCTGTGGGGTCATGAATAACAATATAGAGGTCTGTACTCATAACTGCATACTATGAAATACATAACTTTTTCTGGCAGAATAAAGAGAGGAGAGGCGCAAACCTGACATTGCTTACCTGTCAGCCTGAGATTATAAATTCATATTTTAGGTATTTAAAAATCGTTAAATGCTTTTTAATCAGAATATATGGAAGCAAATAAAAGCTGAATACCTTATTAATGATAAACTAATATTTCAATTTGAACCCAGCTGATATTATAGCAGTGAAATATTCAACATTTAATACCAGTTTGAAATACTGTAGGTTAATATCCGTCCTTTGTACGAGGTTTCAAGTTTTGCAGTGTTGAGAATGAAGTTGTTTGTTTGAGCGGTTCTCCAGAAAGCTGCAAGCAGCAACACCACAGGCCCAACAGTCAGCCCCCTCTGAACAGGCAGCTTTACAACTGGCACTGCAGGAGAACCTAAAAAGTCAACAAAAGGAACTTGGAAAAGCTCAAACATGAAGCTCTGGCTTTCTCTTGTATTGACAGGAAAGCAGATTACACACTTGGATCACGTGACTGACAAATTGTCTTTTGTAGCCTGATTGTTCCAATTTTAATATTTAATCTCACATTTTGGTGTCTGACTTTTAAAATGTTTAGATCAGAAATGAACCAATTGAATTTGAGCAACTTTTTTCAAATATTTGACTCTTGAATTTACCTTCTGGAATTTTTTAAAAAGGGGGAAACTAAACCACATCAATATAAACAGTTAATATTTCAATGCTATAAATTATTCAGTAGGTATTAAAGTTCACAGTTGGGTATTTAGTTTCCGAAAGGATTTAAATTATTATGCCCTTTTTGTTTCCACCGGAATGTCATCTTTATTTAAATTGCATTATTGTTATTTATGAGATCATTAATCTGTTGAAAACTTCCAGGTGGGATTTGTATATATTACACAGAAAATAATTTACACTGTGACATGATACCATTTATGTTTAATGAGCATAATAGTCGGTAGAACATTTATTGAACAAGTAGGATAACTTCCTTCATTTTGAGTCTTTCAGTGACATACTTCCCTAAGATGTGTTCAAGTTTTTTTATAATGAAAACTATTCTTTAACCAGCGTGTGTTCTTGTGTGTTTGAAGGAGGAAAGGAGAAACCGAATGAGAGAGCTGCCCTCTGCAGTGCCCAGGGACAAGGTAAAACAACAAGCTTATTTTAAAATATAACACAGCAGCTCATGTGTTCTAACGTTTGGTTGCAGTCTGCAGAGTCCCCGGTCGTATAAAGGGGACTTGTGCAGTGTTAATCGTTCATGGCACTACAGGATGAGGGTCTGTGAACCGAATGCCTCGGATAGTTTCCATTGAGGAATTTTATCCCACATCTCCTCTCAGAAAGTCTCCTCTCCTCACCTCAAATGACTTTCAACTGCCAACCGTCTTTCCACATTTCTTCTCAGTGCTTTTTTCTCTCTCTCTCTCTCTCTCTCTCTCTCTCTCTCTCTCTCTCTCTCT